GGGGGGGGGGGGGAGAGGGCGGTGCGTGGTTTGTTGTGTGGTGTTTCTCCCCTGTATTCCGTTTTTACATAGGTCGACCCAGACCTTACATAGACCCGGCCCTTGTGTAAAGTGTAGTCTTTTACCTCCAATAAATACGAACGTTGATGACTTGATTTCAGGGGTTTCGAGTGTGTGGTGATGATGGTTGATTGCTTCCCGCCCATCGACCCATCCGTGTAGGAACGTCCGGTAGTTGGAAATTGTTTCTTCGTGGTGGTTATTTCCATCCCAATTAGTCTATTTGTTTGGTGGCTGCTTGCTTGGTGCCTTATGGATAGCAGCATTAATAAGTTGATCATATTAGCTGCGGTTGCTCCAGCTGCGGTTGCTCCAGAATATGTGGTCATTGGACAGATGGTCTGGTGTCGTTTACCGCCTGGAGTAAGTAGCATCAGGACCTCGTCATCTATGGTGTGCATCACACGCGTCCGTGAGTGAGTATGTACTACATACGCCACATATGTAACAAGTTTGTTTGGTTGCACGATTACTATGCTCATTAACGGAGAACACGTACTCAGTATGCATGGACAAGCGCGCGGTATTATTTTCTTTCGGTATTTTAATGTGAAGGGGACAACGTTCAAGGGCGTATCATCTGGCATTTGGTACGTCACGAGTTGGTATATCTTCATTAAAGTAGGTTGAGGGTGAACAGTTTGTTAGTTGCGCTAGTTGCACGCCATGTGACGTATGTTTGTTGTTTGTTGCGGTGATCGAGCCCTGGCATGCGGCATGGGTTTGGAACGAGGGGAATGGAGTCGTATCGGTTGCGGGCGGGGGCGAGAAAGTCAGAAAAGTGTGTGCATACATATTTTTTTTGGGGGGGAAATGTGTCGGGTTCCTTGTCCCAAGTTCAAATAACGAATGAATGTAAAACGCCTTGAATATATATAATAGACTTGCTTTCCCCCATGGGAAAAAGAAGAGTGAGTGCTCTGGCTTCCTTCGTAAAAGTGTCAACTTCCCATACCCGTGGGATAAAGGAAAAGGAGGGCATTTTTTAGTGTGTGGCTTACCTTTCTTTGACAATTGTGCTGGGAAGCACAACGACCACTATTTATAGTACTGCAGCGCCGAATACCGGTCGCCCCGGTGGTCTAGTGGGTAGCCTCGCAGCCTGCTAAGGGCCAGGTCATGGGTTCCGAGTCCCGACAGAGTGAGTTTTTTCTCGCTTAGCAAATCCTGGTCTCCGTTGGAAGCGACGCGCTGCAACGCTAGTTGTTAGTAAACTTGATCGACTTCAAAAGTCGCGAGGGAAGGGATTGCTGTACCCTTCTCGCGATAAAAATATCTCAAGCAGGAACCGCAGGAGGGGGTCCAGCCCCCCCCTCCTATGTGACCCGGTTGGGTCATCTAGCTGGTAGAAGTGGAGGATAGGGGCCAGAGGAGGGGCAGACGACAGAGTCCAATAATGGGAGACAAAACAAAACAGACGATAAGAGTCCAATAATAATAATGGGAGAAGGAACAAAACAAAAAATATCTATGTAGAAGTGGTCGTGCTTCTCAATAAAAGTTTAATGCCCGAGTCCGTCAAGCTTTCCTTCAAGCCACGCTTACGTCCCCCCAGGGTTGCCATCCCTGTGATAGTGCCGTGCTTGCCAGATCGATACAAACAAGCAGGCAGGTAATCGGTTTGATTTTTCTCATCATCAGCAGGGGGCGAGCGACACGAGAGGGATAGTCTAGTCTAGTTGTTTTTTGTACAAAATAGCAACGGGTTGGCGAAGGCAACCGATCGTCCCCACCCTGCTGCTGCTCTGCTTTTGTTGTGTGCTCCATTATCTGGCGCAATCGCCCACACACACACGATTACGCACACACACGCGAAACACCGCAGAGGAGATGGTTTCAGCTCCAAACATAATATGCTCGGCTCCGGTCACATACATACACTAAGAAGAGGGACAAGGGACAGGCCTTAGGACTGAATGTGACTAGACTTTTTGTGCTTGCCTACGGTGGGCTAAATAGATGATACTTCCTACATTCCTCGCGACCATATGGAACGCAGATAATGACTTCGGGGTCGGGGAAACGCGTTTTTTGTTCTTGCAAAGTGAGTTTTTTCCCTCCCTTCTGTTCCTGGTTGGTAGTGTGATGATGTGCATACACTACGGGGTGGAAATCTTCTGGCGTCATTATGGAAGGCAATCACCGCAGGAGGGGTGGCGTGAGTAGGAGGCCTCAGGGAGAGGGGCTCTAACCCTTCTGCGTGACTTGACCACGGATGGATTAGACCCACTACCTCCTGACCGGCAGAAATGCCTTGTGTGTGTGTGTGTGTTTTTATTATTAGCATCGACCGCGCTAACCGGCTGACCAATGAAAAGACGTCAGTCTTAGTGCGGTTGAAAACACAAAACACTTCTATCTACCATGAACTGGGACCCCGTGAGGGGGCAGCATGGGGGAGGCTAAACTATCCTTCGGATTAAAAACAGAAACAGCAGCAACAGACGAAAAATGCACGCGTCTACCAAGGCTATTACCTAGTACTCGAGTTCGTTTAGGAGTACTTTCACCAGTGTCCTCCTTGTTTTCGCTACCATCATTCTGATCCTCATTTCGACAAGAAGAATCTCTGGGCAGTTCTTCCCTAGCCCTACGTTTCTTGTTGTGGGGAAGGTCATCTGGCTCAAACCCTTTGCTCTCTTCCACTCCTCCATGTTTTTCTGCTCCATCGTCGTCATCCTCCTTTCTCCCCTTTCCCTTTCCTTCGTCTTCGTCACTCCCAAAAGAATTACCCTCACTACTATCATTGTCGGAGAGATCCCAACGGATTGGCCCTGGTGGAAGTTGGTCGATCAGTAGCCCATGAAGTTTGAACACATCGCGAGTTCGCATCGACAGAAAACGAGCTAGCTCGAAGGTAAACCGTCTCCGAATCCTGTTAGTATGAAAAGCTTTCAGGCGAACTAAGGCCCTCTCGTCGTCAAAATTTTCCCGGCAAAAAGCTTCGTGCGCCAAGTGGTTGGCGATAGCAACGATGAGTCGATTGGTGCCTTTGCCAAGACCACCATTCGTTGAAAAAGCAGCAGTAAGGAGGGTAGATCTAGACGGGTTGAAAGTTCCCGCATAGTGATTTGCCTTACTTGCAGCTCGATCTTCGAGGGCTGATCCTGGCTTAAGGATCGACTTGTCGATGCTTCGACCTGCTGATGGGTTGACGATTGTTACGTCGATCAGAATGGACTTGGTGCAGAGGTCCTCTTCCTTCTCTCCTGCGTGTAATCCTGGGGGGATTACCAAATCCATCTTGTATAGCCCCTTTCCCCTACCAGTGCCTGTGGTAAAAGGGGAAGAATCCTCAACGGCGATGGGCATATGGCACTCGCGCAGTGTCTTGAGGACCACTCGAACCATCCTGTTATGGAGGAAGGTTGAGGCGCCGGTCTTGGTGCAGACGAGGGAGTGGGCTCGGCTCAAGCGGTCCTTGCATGGTAACAATGCACCTGCACCACAAAGTTTGCCTGTGTTGCAGTCTGCTCGATCGTGACTCCCCAGTACACGACCGATTGACTCTCGATATAGATCAGGCAGCATTCTTTCATCTGCTGACAACCCTTGCGTTGTCAACCACGACAAAACTCCCTTGCCTTTCGCTTCCTCCAAGCGGATCAACGCCCTCTTCTTTGGCGTTTCCTCGCCTACTACTTTCTGCAAGTCTGTCTCCACCATGTGGCGCACTGCTGCATGAAGAGGTTTCGAAAGGAGAGCTTGGGCTCCAAAGACTTGGTAGTGTTGACCAAATTCATTTCGGCTGAAGGTAGATGGTGGTTGATGTGTGTGTGTGTGTGTGAGCTGATTCAGAGCGATGAAAAAAAAATGAACATAAACGTGTCATCATACATATATGTCCATCTCCGTGTGCAGCAACGTCTCGATGTATTCCATCTGGCTGGTGGGCGGAAGGGCATGTCAAAAAACGAAGGAGGAAATACTACGAGGTACTTAGAAAACAAAGACCTCCTCCCATCTCATCTCCCCATTACTAGTAAGTACAGCCCATCACCAGACAATACAAGTGACACACCGGTGATGATCATGAAATAAAAGATCCGGTTATTGTAACGGAAAAAAAAAGTGACAACTGCTGTTCCCGTCAAAAAAAAAAAAAAAAACAGCCGTCTTGCCATCAATCAAGTTTTGTTGTCCCTGCTTGCAGCTGGTGCTACTAAGATCAACGCTGCTGTCGATTATCATCCCGCCAAAACGAAACGAGATCGAGACAAGACCGTCGGCATCCCAAGAAACACACACCACCAGTGTCAACAAGTTCACAACCGAATGTTTGTTACGCTTGCATAAATAAATGCCGATGATGCATCTTTACGACATTTTCCTTTTCTTTTCGTCAAGCTGTCCGTGGTTTCTGCCGTACAAAAAACGGTCTCCCCTGCCGAACCTCTCAACAGACAAGCTACACATACACCCGTCACAGCAGAAGAGAATCAAAATACTCTTAACGATGTCCAACTCTGAAACTCCAACTCACATTCAGGATTAGCTCAAACGCCTAACGCCCGCATCGCCCCCACCAACTTGACCAACCATTAGCTCCCACACACACAACCGCTACCGCCTAGTACCAACAACACTCAATCTTCATGCCCAGACACGGGCGCCTTCTTCTGCCGTCTTCGCATCCCGGAATCGCTCCCCGAATCGTTGCCGGTGCCGTTTGCCTTCGAAGGCGTCGTCGTCCCTGAACACACACCCGGGGGGGGGGGGGGGGGGGCGACGCGGAGTGTAAGACGCTTGAAAAAACACGGATGTCAGCTTGTGCCGTGGTGATAGATAACGCTCAAGTTACGCACTGCCAAAGAGCATCACGACGCAAAGAGGAGGAGGCGTGGTGCGTCGCGGGTACTCATGTGTGTGTGTGTGTGTGTGGGGGGGGGGGGGGTT